CTGATGGGTGGGTAGGTGGATAGAAGGAGGGGTGGGTGGACTGATGGGTGGGTGGGTGGATGAATGGATGGGTGCATGGGAGGTCATGCGGGTGGGTGGAAGTATAGTTGGTTGATTTATAGGACGGTTTGACTAAAGCCCTTTCCAAAGCAGCAGATTCTCTAGGGCCCCCTCTAGTCCTCCCACCTGTGGAATAGGATGGGCTCCATGGGAGAGGTCTGCTCTGCGTAGTGGGAGAAGATAGACTCAGGGTGAGCTGGAGCAGGATGCAGGCCGGGAGGGGCGCATGCACATACTCACAGCAGGTAGAAAGCCAGGCTTTTGAAGTGCCCCTGGAGGAAGGTCTCAGTGCCCACGCCGATCAGCACTAGGAGGGGGAGAGAAGAGAGACAGTGGCCCGGGTGCTCCAGCCACAGCACTGCCCTGGGAGGGCTCCCTGACATGGAGTGAGCCTTTTCCCTGGGCACTGAGGGCCAGGGAGGCTCTTCCCATGTGGCACAGAGATTGGTGGCTGGGAAGATACAAGAGAGCAGGGATCCTTCTGACTTGGTCCCTGGAAGCCAGAGAGGTTTCAGGCAGAAGTGAGGAGTCTTTAGCTCAGTTTCCCAGGAGCGCAGACCCCAGCCTCTGCCTGCACTGGTCATGCCCAGACCTGGGTGCCCCCAGACACAGCCATGATGACAGGACACCACAGGCCCTGCTCCGTCGCTGTCCTCCACATGTCCTGGTTCCAAGGGCCCTCGCTGTCCTGCGTGTCGCGGGTGCTGTGTCTGGGCTCCAGTGCTTGGCCACGGTGGGCCCTGTTCGTGCTGGCCCATGACCTTGTTTTCACTTGCTGGTTTGGCAGCTGCCTCTCACACTCCTGGCTCATTGCTTTCAACCCAGGGCTGACTAAACGCCTGGGTTTCGCTCTGACCCGCATGCTGTTCAGCTTCATCTCCCTCCTGCCCTTTCTTGGCAGTTGGTGCTCAAACACTTAACCTCCCATTTCTCCAGGGTGGATTTTGTCTTGGACCCACTTTGCAGACTTGCTGGCTCCCTGTCATCTCCTCTCAGGGACTCCCTGCTCTACCAGCTTTACTCGGCCAGCCGTGGCTCTGACCCCACCCACTGACCGATGAAAACAGTGCGCCGGCAGCACTCAGATGTCCCAGACCTTCTTCCAGGACCATGGTGGCCCACTAATCAGGCCTCATTCTGGACCTAATCTACCATACTCCGTGCACTTACATTTCTCTCTCTGGGCTCAAGTGACATTTTCCCCTGGTATTTTCCCCCTGCCCTGAAACTCAAAGGTGGAGGGTTGGGTTGTCAAATTGGCTGTGAGTGGTCGTTTGTCTCTGCTGCTTCCCTGGGTCCGACAGCTCCCCTCTTCCTGGCAGAGATGCTTTCATCCCTGGGTGGCCCCAGCCCTTAGTCCCGGGTAGAAGTGCTGCCTCCTGAAATGCAGTGCAGAGCCCTTCGTGTAGGCCACCTGCACCCCCACCCTCGCTTCTGGGGGACTGTGGAAGCGCTGCAGGGAAAAGGGACAGAGTGCTTGGGTTTGGGGGGGAGGCACGGGGCGCTCTTACTGATGGAGCGCCGTGCTGGCAGCGCGGAGGGCAGGTGTCTCTTGCCCGCAGGTGCCAGCTGCTCACTGGCTCAGCCCAGGCGAGCAGCTGGGGATGCTGGTCAGCCACCCCCCTCCACAGTGTCAGCACCACCTGCAGGGCACTTGGTTTACGCACAGTGGTCACACACGTCCTGGCTCCTCATAGCAGCCCCACGGCACAGTGAACTTCATACTCCCCATTTCACAGGGAGGAAATGAAGCTCAGTGTCGTTCTCGCAAGGACACACCCGGGCCATAATGTGAAGGGCCTACAGGCCAGGCGTGAGCCTTCTGGCTGGGGAGGGGGGGGAAGGGGTTCTGGTTTTCACTGTCTGCCAGTGTATGTGAGGTGTGTGCATGTGTGTGTTGTATGTATGTGTGTGTTGTGTTGTGTGTGTTGTGTGTGGGATGTGTGTGTATGTGTGGTGTGTGTGTATTGCAGGCACATGCTCATTTAATTTTTACTGTGTATCCTGCCCTGTTCTCAGCACTCGGCATTTCTTGGCTTATTTAATGATCACAATGTTCCTATGTGAAAGTTCTACTTACCCTCATTTTACAGAAGAGGAAAGTGAGCCACAGAGTGTAAGCAAATCACCCACCCAGCCAGCATGCCTAGGTCGGATCCTGCATCTCAGTCTCACAGTTGCTGATTAACAGCCGAGTCACTCATCTCCCTGAGCTCAGCTTCCTCAGTATCTCTGGGCTGTGAGGCTTCAGTGAGCCAACCGATGCCAGCGCGTCACAGTTGCTCAATGAAATGGCTTGGTGATTTTTGGCGGGGGCTTCATTCACATCCTAGTCCTTTTAGATTTACATGGGCTTGTGGCAGATGACCAGCAGATGGCAGGAAAGGGTCTTGGGAGGGGCCAGGTTCTCTGACTTGCACCCCTTAGGCCGGTGGAGAGCTATTTTAATGCCTATTGACAAACAAAGGGTCAATAGTCAAAGGGGCATTCCAGAATCGCTAGAGGCAGAACTGGTTTGCAGTTTAAAAACTCAAAGTAACAACAGAGAAGTGAGAGAGCTGGGCTGGGATCCCAGTTCTACGTGATGTGACTTGGTGAAGTGGGTTAGTACCTACCCCCTCTGAGCTGAGCCTCCCGGCTGTGGCGTGGGGGGAATAAGTTATACCCTGAGCTGTTGCTCAGGTTGGAGGGAAATGACAAACCTGAAACGCAGGGCTCTGTGCTTGGTAGACGACAGGCGGCCAGTGCACACGAGCTCCTTCCTCCCGCTAACTCTGGCCTTGGCAGCTTTCCCAGCCCCCAGCTAGCCCACTGTGCACCTCCCCCCAAAGCTCTCACCCAACCATAGCCATGCTGGATTCTGCAAGTCCAGGGACAGAGGGGGACCCTTTGGCTGGAGGAGGGGGGCAGGTGATGGAGTCAGGTATGGGTTCTAAGGCCGGGAGACCCCTAAGGGGGTGCAGTGGGATTCTCATGGGAGCCCTAAGGTCCTTTGACACTGGGGCCAGCGGGTCACCTGCTTTCTGTTTGATCCTCCTAGTTCTGGGGTTCACGTCCTCAGAGGCAGACCATGCAAGGCTGAGGCAGCACTGGCCGGGGTACAGTCCTTCCTTCTGCCCCCGCGTCTGTCTTCTGCCTGCAGCCTTGGCCCATGACCCTGCTTCTGCCCTGGAGCTGCTTGGCTGCACTCCTCGGTGTCCCCTGGCAGCTCTTCCTAGACTGTGCTTCTATCTTGTCTTCTCTGTTTCCTGTTGGGTAACTTGGGGTCAAGTCCAACAGGGGGCTGGAGTGAGCATCGGGCTCTTCTCTGGCTCATGCTTGGTCCAGCAGGAGAGATGGGAAATGTACAAACTGAAAAATACCGAGACTCAGGCAGTAAGAGGGGCTCACCTACGTGCTCTGAGCACCGGAGAGAGAAGGGCCACTCCTGAAGGCGTTAAACCAAGGTGGACGGGAAGGCGGGCGGGAGATGGACATGTGACATGTGCACATAGAGGGGCGGGGCACTGCAGGAAGACCCCTCCTCGCAATGGTAACAGCAAGTTATTTCTTCTGGGGCAGGGGCACAGGAGGGGGCAATGGGCAGTACATATGGACGGAACCAGACTGTGGGTCTTTACATACCAGGCTCCACAGGTTGGGCAGGGGGTGACAGGGGCTTGAGTGTTGTGGAGCAGGTGAGTGACATGTTCATACTGGCATTTCAGAAAGCGCCCTGGCCTCAGGCAGAAGGGGTAAGAGGCTTTGATGATATTTGGCTGGCTGGTGGATGTGAGGTGGTGGCCGAGGTACAGGACATTGCTCAGGATGCTCCTGGCCTCCCCTCCCCAGCACACTGGCAGCCTCCGGTTCCTCTGTTGGTCTGGCTTGGAGCAAAGCTCTGGTTGGGGCTCCCAATGGTGTGTACAGGTGACTCTGTTCACCTGTCTGCAGGGCAGGGCTCCCGAGAGAAGGAGCGCTGCTCTTTCTAGAGGCCCAGAAAAGGAACATTTTCTGGCACAGAGCAGAGGGCATGCCTTGCTGTCTCATGATGGTCTTTTGCCTTTTTCTGGGTAGCGGAAGCAGAGGTGTGAGATGGTCACAGGTGACCACAGGCTTTTGGGTTGGAAGCTCTCTGGGCATGTCAGGGAGGGCCCACCACGTGCTGTAGACTGCAGCAGGCCCCTACACACATCCTGTTTACCCTGTACAACATTCCTCAAGGCAGGAATTGTCAGCTCCCTGTTAAAAAATCCAACCAGCACCCTGGAGTGAGCACCTTGGCCCAGGCACACTGGCAGTGAAGGGCAGAGGGGCAACAGGATCAGTACCAATGTGCAGTGGCTCCAAGCTCCCTGCTGGCAGAGTCAGAGAAGGACTCTGGAGAGAACAGTGCAGGCAGGGCAGATATTTCCTGGGGCCCTCCACAAGCATGCGGGATGACAGATGGATAGATCTGTGTCACACTGGGCAGTGGACCATTGCATCTCCCAAGTCCGGCTGTGAGTAAATTTTTGTAATGTCTTCATCAGAAAGAGGCGAGAACCTGCCCCTGCCCTGCCTCGATGACTGCCTGGCGACCAAGCTGTGCGTCAGGGTGGTGATCACCTACTCACCCCTCACCCTGGGCATGTAGTCAAGGGCCGTCAGCCTGGGCAGAGCTCTTCTGACTGTCACAAGTGGTCGCAGCCTGAATCTCACCACTAGGACAGTTCCACTCAGCCACCCAAGGGTCTGTCAAGGTCCAAAGTCCCCAGCAGTGAGCCCACACGCTTATTCACAGCACATCCTCTGTGCCAGGTCAGGTAAAGGACAGGGGAGCAAAGCAAATAAGCTTCAGAGTCTGGGCAGACAGCCCCAGGGCCAGGAAACAGAGATGTGGAAGGTGGGAACAAGTCTTGGCACAAGGAACAGGGAACACAAGCTCCATGCGCCTGGGAACCGAGGAAATCTCCACGGAGGAGAAAGGCAGGTGGTGCCAGGCGGATGGAGCAGCTCGAGGTGAGGGTTTGGAAGTGTGTTGCCTGGGCTCCATGCACAGATCAGGGCGGGGCCTTGTCTCTGGGCGCTTCTCTGTGCGACCCCCGGGGCTGAGCAAGCTCAGAGGGCGGCGCTGGGGCAGTGACAGTGTGGTTTCCTGGGCCCACACCCTCAAGTCCTCCCACCTCCAAGGGAGCCAAGCCCACTGAGAAAGCTGTGCTCTGTGGTCTGGGAAAACCCCTCCATGGGCAGGCTGGGTGCAGACAAGTACCCTGGGGACCACCACATCTGCAAGGACTTACTCTAGTCCCTAACACTTACCTCCCAAAGATCTCCCAGGCCTCTCAA